ATGTGAGTGTGAGTCTGCCTGTGTGACATCTGTGTTAGAAATGATGGTGTATCAGTCTAAGGAGGACACAGTGCTGCAAACTGAGCTCTCTGTCTTAAAACAAGTCAGTTCCATATATGATCACTGAAACCTTTTCTTTGTGTTATTACCCTTACACCGCACCTCAGAACAGTAACACTGCCAGCAGAAAAAAAAAGAGATTTACATTTAAATATACCTTAAAGATACTTTAAAGCAAAGGTATACCAGACTCAATGAATACATTATAAAACAAATATAATCAAATGATGATACACAGACGAATGAATCAATTTGCATTAACATTGCAATTGACTTTTATTTATTTGTTCTTTGTCATTCTACATTTATTTATGTTATCAATGGAGCGACTGTATTAAAAGAATAGTATCTCATTTTGGGCTCATTGACTTTACTTGCTGAGAGTAAGTACCACCCTCAGGAATGTAATGAGAATTAGAAGCCAGCAGCTCGTTAGATTACCATAAAGATGAAAATGGGGAACAGCTTAAGCCTGGCTCTGTCCGCGAGTAACAATATCACCTACCAGTCACCTTTTTAAAGCTCACTGATTACGTAGTCTTCATCTGTTTTTACACAAAGTGTAAAAATTACAGTCTTGGTTTACAGGGGACTGTGCTGGACATTTCTGGCTGGACGCAGTGACTTACCTGAGTTGTGTCATCAGTGTGAGATTGCATGAACAGGCAACCAGCAGCAACCTATAACTGACTGGCTATAATAAATGTTGGGTGTCTTCTTCAACTTAACAATAAACAGATGAATTCACAGTAGGACAGACAGTCTTGTCTCGTGTTAGGCAACCATATGTTAAACTCTTGTAAGGACCTTTCTTTATTGCTGTAATTAAAGTAATTGATTCCTTTGTTTAATTTAATCTTATCTTATAGCAGCAGCAACACATTTAACCAATCTATGCTCTGGTTCAAAAGTTTATATTTTTAATATGTTCCTTTTAAAATGAATGTCTAGCCTATTACATAATGTATATTTCATTTTCCTGTGTACAAAGTGTAGCCTTGATCTACAGACAGAGCTCTTTTGTTCATAAAATGTTAAAGTTGTATTTGTAAATTAAAATAAGAAAAATGGAACTGCTCACGTAACACAGTTCTCCAAAGACTTTGTTTGAGACAATGCAGTGTCTTTGAGACAATAATCCACAGACTTGTTGACTGGGGTCAATCTAGATTGCTGTGAAGTCTTCTAACACCACAGTTGCTGGATTAGTGCAATACTGTTAGATTAGACACTGTACAGCAGAACGATTGACGCACTGACACACACACACATACACACAGATTTAGTGCATCTACAGTATGTGTGCGGTTTGTACTACAGTACAGTATGATGGAGTGCTTTTTCATTTTGCAGGGCTTGCTCGTTTTCTAAATGAACTTGCATGAGCGACAGCCTGTGTGTATTCAGAAATGTGTGTTTGAAATGCATCAGCAGATGAAAGAGGCAAACACAATCTAAGGCTTACTACCAGCTGTGCCTCACACACAGCAGCAAACAAGCCACTAAAATACTAATTCCGAAGGCAAAAGGTCAAACCTCCGTGAGCGAACCCAGAATCATTCACAAGGCAATCTCTCAAACTGTGCCAACATTCACACATAGCATCGCACCATTAGTAACATCTGCGTATTGTGATAAAACTGATTACATCAGATCCAAACACGAGCTCCAACAGTGACACCAAGTTAATCTCTGTGTAATGAAGCAAAGTGGGTGAAAGGTCAAGTGTTGTATCACAGCCACGCCACATTTTTTAGCTAGTAACATCTTAAAGCCGAGTATCATCAACATGTAAACAGGTTACAGTATTGGACTGATGTTTCTGAAGATCCATAAGCCAATCCTGCTACAGAGCTTTCTGCAATGTGTATACGAGGTCTGTGTGACTTCATACTGGATATACTGTATTGACACCACTGAAAAAACAGGGCCAAAAGGATATGGCTGGTTTCATTTATGTTAAATTCAATGAAAAACCAAGAGTGAATTTATCCCATTAGCAAATATCTGTGTATCCAAAACCTGCTTATTTCTGCCTTAGAAACAATTCTGGGACAATATCTTTGATCTCTGTATCAGCTCCGCGTGGTCACTGAGCATCTAGTTTTTCTAGTTTACATTTTTCTACTTTGATGAGCCGACAGAAAATAAGTGTAGTAGTGTAAGAGTACTACAAGATGTCAAAAATAACTGAGCTATGTGAGTTCATCTGCTTAACTGTGAGACAATCAAAGTTCACAGGGAGGTGGCAAATATGATAGAGCACCTGCACCTGAAAACTAACATGACTGAAAACTCTTACCTAATCATATTCATGTAACATGTCATTTATCAATCTACACAATCTATAGAGAACATGAAAATAATATACAGAACATGCTCCTTACGGATTGATGGGGAGTTACCCTTATTCACTTTCATGCTGTTCGGGAAATGATTTTGTTTTGATCCACCACATCACATTACATTCAACTGGCAGAAGCCTTTATCCAAAGTGACTTTTTTTTCACCCCACACACATAAGGAGCAATTTGGGGTTCAGTATCTTGCCGAAAGATACTTCATCATGTAGACAGGAGAGCCCTGGAACTGAAACCTAAACCTAACAATTAATGGCTGGCCCACACTACCACCTGAGCTACTGTTGCCCACATATCCCTTACCTGTTCTTTGTTTCTTTATCTATTTCCGGTTTGGGAATAATTCAAGATTGTGATTGCAACTGTCATCATTAGTGTCCGTATTTCATTATGTACAATTCAGTGATCTAGTATCCCAATAACCTTATGAGACTTACAAGGAATCAGCTAAATGTGCTACAATTTTATATTATAGATACATTTAAATAAATATTCTAAATGGAAGGTCTTCTTACTTAGCTAATCCTGAAGCTTTCAACACCGGAACTTGCTTTTAAAATATTTTCCACAGATGTTTCCCAGAGGTCAAGAATGAATCTCTACAGTCAAACAGCCTCATTCACCTTAAAAACAGAAGATACTGTATATAGATATATGTAATAGGGGTAAAAGATAATATTGAAAAATATCGTATTGTGGTAATTTGTTTTGTGATATTGTATCAATATTAACATTATCTGTTTTTGTGTTTAAACCCCCAACTGCTAGATAATAGTGTTATATACATAAACTATGGGTTAGGGTTTGGTTAGGGCTATCACTCAGATTTCATGCATATGGTTCCGTGTTTCCTAAAATGTTATTCTTTTTTTAAAATCACAATACCGGTATATCACCTTGCTAGTATTACAATTTAAGTTAATATATTGAATCGTGAAACGTATCACACACAGATTTTTGCCAATACACAGCCCTAATATATAAGGACGTTGTATGTCCCCTGGAATGAAATGTGGTATATAAATAAAGGTTTGCTTTCTTTTTCTAAAATGTCAGAAAAATAGTTAAAAAGTGAGTCATATTCAGTTTAGCATCATATATGACAAGCATCAAATGCTCACATTTGAGATGCTGGAACCAGTGAATGTTTGGTATTTTTGCTTTACTCATTTAAGCACTGAATATATAGTTGAAACAAAGTTGCACACTGGTTTTCAAGAATTCATTCAATTCAACAGATGCAGAAATCCAGTTTGTACATCTCTCTGTCTTGTCCCCATAGATGCGTATCCAGTCTCAGAGGTGGTTTACACGTGGACGCAGGGAGCAGCTAAGTCAGTGGTGGTGGCAGAGGAAGGCTCTCGGCTCAATCAGTATCATCTGATTGATCAGACTGCAGGAACAGAGGACATCTATACCAGCCGAGGTACAGTGAAGCCAGAGTAAACTCCCACCTGACCCAGACAACCAAGCTTTGGAATAATCGCACACACGACCATCTACACCTTAGCTAGAATTCATGTGGTTTAATCCCTCCGTTATCTTATATCATTCAGTCATTTCCTCCCTTACAGCACCAGTCATACAGTAGCTTCAGGCAGGAGCAGGGATGTTAAGCCCCCGCTTCAACCCTATTATTCAGCTCTGTGTTATTACAGTGTGTGCCATCCAAAGATGTTGTGAGAAGAATTCTTTTTTCAAATCAAGCTGGATATAGACAATGAATGAATCACAAGGATTTGAGAATGCCTCCCACACATAGCCAGCTGTCTCTGGGGCAGCCAGAGAAGAGAAAAGGGGGGGCAAAAAAAATCACTTATCCGTGGTCTGAGCCACTGGGTCTGTAGGGTTAATCCGTATGCAGGCCCATCAGTTGTGCTTTTACCGAGTGACGTCACAGCTCAGGGATTGGCTGCTGCAGCGGAGACACGTTGGGGTGGTGGGGCAAGCGGCATCTGCTTAATTCTGTTATGTAAAGAAGTATGATAATACATTTCTGCTGCTTGTTGCTGGTGAGTTTATTACAGGGGGGCGTTCCTATAGCTGTAATGTATACAGAGCTAGTTGCTTTATCCTGGATCTGCCGGGGGAAGATGCTGTCCACGCTGGATAATGCATGAGAACTAAACAGTTACCATTAAGTATGCCACAGTGCTCTTTAAGCAGCAGGAGAAATCCAACAGTGCTACTGGTAAAAGACGCAGACTCGAAGCGCTCAACAAGTTCAGATTAACACACAGGTTGCTATATTTCTCTGTGTCATTATGTACCAGCCCCGCACTGCTCAGACACACAGAGCCAGCATGGCCTTAATTAGCGGTGCTAATCTGAGGTACAAACCCTCTTTAACAAGCCAAGAATAGCTCAGCAAAGGGCTAACACTAGGCACAGGTGACCTTTGACCTGACAGGTTAAGCTGAAGAGGATGAAAATATAGACACAGGAATTTAATTGATGACCTTGTAATTTCATTACATTACACACATGTTGGTGCTTTCGGAATCAAAATAGAAAGCAGCAATGCTCAACAGATGGTTACAATTTGAACTTACCAGTTGACCAACATAGCTGCGTTGTTCTCCGCTATGAATGGCAGTTCCCCACAGACACTCCAAAAACCAAACAGTAAAATCCACCACAACCGCATTTTCACGCCTTGGAGATTTCCATCCACTTCCAAGCCCAGCAGGCGGTCAGATCAGAGTGGGATTCGTCCAGTTGTGCCAGCACAGAGCCAGGCGGCTGGCCAGTAGTCCTCGGAGCGAAGGCAACACAGGTGCGCTTTTCATTAAGGACATGATGCTTGTCGCCGCATTGCATGGACCATCCAAACTTTCCTCACGTCCCTCTCAACCCTCCTCTGCGTCAGTCATCTGTGCACCTGCTTGTAATCACCGCTGATCCAGGTCTGTTTTAGTGTTCGAGCTCAGGCAGGCAAGGATGTATGTCCCCAATCAAGAGTGGCCTGGCCTGACAGAATGGGACGGACTGTCTGTTACACACACATACACATACACACACACACACACACACACACACACCCCCACACATACTCAGTCACACACATAGAAAGAGGGAGAGAAAGAGACAGAGGGAGAGTGAGAGAGATATACAGGATGCAGATTGTGACAAGGGATTAGTGAGACAGAAAAATCCGATTTTGCCAGGAGAAAGCAGCAGTCATCTGTGGATTTTCTATAGTTTATCAGACTCCATGGCGCGACAGGATTTTTGAGGGAAAAAAAATCTTTCAAATTAACAGGATATGATGATTTCCTCACCAACCTGTTTTTCAATAATTTAGCTCACACTTTTATATTTAGAGGAGTAGTCTGGCCTGGAGGTTGTCCAGTAAAGTTTACTTGTATAGCCCTTAATCACAGCCTCCAGGGACTACACTCACCCACTGACACATCCCAGACAAAGATTTTTAATGACAGCAAGCACAGAAACATAATGAAAAAAGGAGCAACTTTTAAAAGGGTCTCAGAGAGAGGAATCCCCTTCCAACAGGTCAGAAATAAGAATAATGCTCAGAAAGGAACATAAACACCAAATAGGTTACCTTCATCAGTGTCATTGTGGCACTTCCACCATCTACCACTGTGGTACTTACAAGCAACAATCACAACCTACAGTATAAGACGTGGTGTTACTCAATCTTTAAATAGGCCAATGGAAAGCAGTGACTATAGTAAAGCAGGGAGATGTACAGTGATCTTATGGGTGAAAACTATATTATTATTATTATTATTATTATTATTATTATTATTATTCTCTTGGCAGAGAATATATTTTCACATAGAACTTTGGTAAAAAAATGCCAAAACATGGATGCAAATGGTCAGTTTTGCAATGATAGTAGTCGACTATGAAACAATGAAAACCATGAAAAGACCAAAACCCAAAGTGCGTTCGTCCATCTCTTAATAATTTCCAATTCCCCTTACCTGTCTAAGGAATGACCTAAAACAACTGGGTAGTGAGTAAATGATGCATTGGTTAGGTACTATTTTAAGCTGCTCGAGTGAATGTTTACAGCAGCAGGACGGTGTACGTGGGCTTGAATCAAACTTTCAGTTGAGTTTGTGTTCATGGTAACAAAAGTGAATGATGAATACTGGTGTAGTCTGTTAATAGCTTTCATTCTCAGTGTCCCCAGGTCAGATTTGTTGGGGTGGGTTTTTCTCTGCTCTCAATAGCAGAGTAGTCAATATCCAAATCCAACTCAAATCCTCAACTGTTGAGGCTCGAGACAGGTAGTGCTGGGCAATTTTTCGGACCCGCCACAGTCAGTCCAACAATTGGCCAGAAAAATACAACCATACACCTTCTAAATTTGGTTTGGTTGTTTTTGTACCAAATCATATACCCCACTTCTACATCTTATACCATGTCCTTCAGTATTACTTGGTGCTGTCTTCTTCATTATCAGAGTAGGGATTACATTTTCAGAAAACTAAAATGTCAATGCATTAAGCATATTCTCCTCTTTTGTTCTGATGTTTACTACAGGTCAATACACCGTGATGATGGCACATTTTTACCTGAAGAGGAAGATTGGCTACTTTGTCATCCAGACCTACATGCCTTGCTTCATGACTGTAATCCTGTCACAGGTTTCCTTTTGGCTCAACCGGGAGTCCGTCCCAGCTCGAACCGTCTTTGGTGAGTTTGGAACACATGGACACATCAGCCAGTAAAATAACCTGGTGTTGCTGTTCCATGATTCATCTATAATGCTCTGAAATGTTTCCTCCTTACAATATACGACTTAATCTGTTGGAATGAAAACGTCTGGTCAGTAAAAGTGACCTGTTTTTCTCCACCACCAGGTGTGACCACAGTACTCACTATGACCACTCTCAGCATCAGTGCTCGAAACTCACTGCCTAAAGTGGCTTACGCTACTGCCATGGACTGGTTCATCGCAGTGTGCTATGCTTTCGTCTTCTCAGCCCTCATTGAGTTTGCCACAGTTAACTACTTCACCAAGAGGAGCTGGGCCTGGGATGGAAAAAAGGCGATGGAGGCGCAACAGCCCAAGGTATGTGCTGTTTCTGTGTGTATCCTTGTTTATAGCACATTGTGGAGACCCAGACTTGGCAGCTGACTCATGTTCTGAGGCCCAAACTATTTTGGATGCTAAAAGCTGAACTCCACAAGTTTAACAGCTAAGACTTGGTTGTATGGTTAAGGTTAGCAGCATTGGAGGTTAGAGAATGAATGTAATCAAGGCAGGGTCCCCATAACGATTATAAGTTTGTCTGTTTGTGATATGAGAATCAGAATCAGAAATACTTTATTGATCGCCAGGGGGAAATTTGTTTAATTGCAGTGGCTCAAGGTGCTCACAATATATGTTTTGCTGTATTTTTTACCCCAGTTCAGAAGCAGTGTTTCAAATTATCACCCTGTAGTTGATGTTGGTTGTGAATGCAGATTGTTGTGTTTCTATTTGGCAGACTAATGTCCATCAGCTGGTTGTTGGAGGATGCCTAAGAAAGGGCACAAACTATTTCTAACAATGTCTAGAAAGATCCTGAAACGCTCTGTAGAACTGAGGGAACTGCAGAGTTGAGAGATCATTTATTGTCGGTTTGTCACTACAAGCAGCACCTTTCACATTAAACATAGTCATTTGAGCTATTGTTTTTATGAAAATGTTAATCAGTGCAGCTTTAACAGGGGAAATAATGGAAGAAACTTTTGTTGGAGTCACAAAAGAGAAAACCCCTTTCAAGTACTAATGGTCAGTGCTTGTGACAGGAAGGCCTGTGCTTAGTTCTTTGTAAAGATTAACCCAGCATTGGACTCACATCCACAGCCATGTGCACACTCACACAGACAACAGAAAATAACCCATTTATCTCCTGAGATCTGCTGTTATCAATAAGTTCCAAGAATCACAGCTGAACTCTGTGATCCAGAACTCACATTTCTACTGCTACAGCACAAGTTATCCCTGTAGTTGAGGGCATGAGAGTAACTCCTCCAATATAGGTAATTTCCAAAAAAATAGAAAACTATTGTAGAAAAAAGCTGATGTAACAGGCAATGCTGCTGTTTTCTAGGATGTAACATTAGTAGTTAACCTTAATACCAGTTTGAAATAACTTTCCCTTCCTTTTCTTTTCTACTCTATTCATTCTCTCTTCTCTTCTCTGCGTTACTTCCTTATAGAAGAGTGGTGTGGAAAAAGTCCATGTCACACATGATAATAAAGCAAGATATGAATTAGAATCAAAGATGTAGAAGTTCAGAAACGGTGGATCAATATATTCTCAGTTCAGTCTGCCAGTGTTGTGGCACAGTGCCACTTCATTATTTCCCGAGGACATTGATCCTCACTTTCCACCTGCACTGGCCATCTTTTATTGTTCTCTTTGTGTTTTTGTGAGCCTGTGTGTATGTGAGCCTGTGTTATTAAGTACCTGTTTTATTATGTTCGATGAATGTGCGGCACCTGTTTTGGTCAGAATTGCGTGTAGGCTCAATCAATGCTTTTCTCTCTCTTCACAGAAGAAGGACCCTTTGGCTCTGTCTAAAAAGCCAAACAACACCTGTTCGGCCGGTATGAATTATACAACCAACCTTACAAAGGACACATCCATCTCTACCATTTCTAATAGCACAGCTGTACAGCTCAAACCCTCTGAAACCAAGGCCCCAGACCCCAAAAAGACTTACAACAGCGTGAGCAAGATTGACAAGATGTCCAGGATAGTGTTCCCGGTGCTGTTTGGGACCTTCAACCTGGTGTACTGGGCCACGTATCTCAATAGGGAACCAGTGATCAAAGGAGCTGTGTAAGCTCAACGATCAGATTCATTCATCCTCCTGACAACCACTTCACGATTCATAACTGGAACGCAATCAAAATCAATGCCAAGCACTTAGTCCTTGTATCACAGATATGTTTTTTTTTTAGGTCACTGGATTACATTGCATGTCTGTTGCTTCAGGAAAATGTTGCCTTGAGTTTGTACATGTAAGATATACAACCTTTTCTTAAAGACAGTTTCATTCATCTCATTTTAGAACTCCAGTCACTGATTAGTTTCTGCCAAATTCTTTAATTTTAAAATTTTTAGCATTTGGCATTTATATTTTCTTCTTGAGTCTACAGTAGATGATGGTACAGCAAGGCCAAATGCTATGCAAAACAACATTTTTACTGTGTTATTACTCAAAAGCGGCTTTTACCTTTATAACTCTTACTTTGTACAAATGGGCTGGAGGTCCAGGAATGCGAGGCTGGGCCCAGGCCCATGGAACTTTGCTTCCTTGTTATAAGCAGATGAATAGCCATGCTAAATGTGTTGCCTTCAGAGTGTGATAACTCATCATGAATGCACTGAAATCTCCTGCAATTACATTTTCAGAAGCCATTTTTCCAACTTTCATTAAATAATTGACTCTTTTTGTTCATTTTTTGCTACTTTTTTCTCAATTTTGAATGGCCAGTTTTCCATAAATGGGGACAGATTTCAAGCTAAAGTGATAGTGGCAGCTTCTGTTTCCAGGTCCCCAAGTTGAGAATCCTGTATGTATGTGTGTACGTAGTTTAAGGAACATGTATATATGCCCTGCTTTTAGAAAAGCACCACTAAGCCAGTAATGTTAGCTTCTATGTTATGCATATACAGCAACACAGTGTTACTCTATCTAGCGCTTCATTGACTGGATATTGAGAAATTAGTAGAATAGCTTGAGCTTTAGCAATTTTGACAGAATATACAATGCTTTTTTAAAACATTTTGTTTTTTAGATCAGTTTGTTGTTTCTATAAGCTTTGACGATACCTTGCAAATATTCTTGATAAATATTTGGATGCTTTAAGCAAGATCACTTTTTTGTCATAATTTAGAGTAACTGCTGTAGTTAAGAGAGTGACTTGAGCTCATTGGGAAGACAGAAAGTCACAATGACCAAGTCATTGTATTATGACCGTTATTATTTTACAATCATGATTTGTTATGTTTATGGTTTCAGGCAAGAACATGACGGGTGGATTTGTCATTAAATTTTATTTTAAAGGAATAGTTTGCAAAATCAATATATTTACTTTCTTGTTGTGAGTTAGATGAAAAGATTGATTTTACTCTTATGTCTGTACAGTAAATATGAAGCTACCACCAGCAACTGGTAGCTTAGGTTAGCATAAAGACTGAAAACAGGGAAACAACTAGCCTGCCTCTCAAAAGGAAAGTGATGATAGCATACTTTACTATAGTATATATATAATATATATAATATAGTTTTCTCTCAGATTTTACCCGAATAGTGCACAAGGTGAAATGTCACCCTCTGCGACAATGTTTTGATTATGGTTTACTTTGTCAAGTTATTCATTAATATTATTCGTTATTTCATGGTAGCTTTTCTGAAGAACTGCAATGCATGTTACAAAGTTTGTAGGCATTTTTTTGCAATGAAATTCCTGGAGAAAACTACATTCCATTTGTATAATTCATTAAAAATCAAGCAACTCACTGCACCCAGCCAAAAAAAGGTCCAGCAGATAACCCTCCATAAAACCCACTACTCATATTTACATTACAGTTTTTGAACAGATTTGACAACCAAGGCTTAGGGTTAGTGTTAGTCATTAATTACAGTAGTGAGCTTTAGAGGTGCTAGACAGTAGATTTCTTACCTTCAGACAGCCAGGCTAGCTGTTTCCCTCTGCTTCCAGACTTTATGCTAAGCTTAGCTATAGCTAACTGTCTCCTGGCAGAAATAGCTTCATATTTACTGTACAGACACGGTAGTGGCATGAATCTTCTCTCCCCTTCAGACCAGCTTTTTACTTGATATTGTGGAGGCTGCATAAACTACACTCACTTCAGCAGAGTATGTTTTTTGCAGTCTTCACAGTTCTCCCCTAAAGGAACACAGAATATGAGCCTGTTGTCTGTTTGGGTAAAGGATTAAAATATGAATGTGATATACTCATGTGACTTTATGCCTTCTGTGTAGCCTGTCACTATTTAGTAAGTTTATTATGGAGCACACCAGTTGTATTGTATTATTACATTTAAGTGAATTTAGGTACAGGCTGTTCTTTAAATGCAAATATCTGAAGCAATAAATAATGCTAGATACTGATTTGTGTTGATGGTAATAGGTGATCATTTGATGTTCATTTTGTTGTCTTTTTATCCAGAGTTAAACCTTTTGGCAATAGTCTTTTTCTATATGTGGCTTATATTTTTCATTTTAGCTGACCCCTTCCCTCTTCTGAAGCACAGTGCTCTCTGACCATGTTTAATGTATTTATTTGTATTTATTTACTTTCTTTTATTTAAATTTTGTTTTTTTTTTTGTAAAAGACCTGTGCAGGTGACCAATGTAAGGATCTGGGCCACTACTGAAACCTCTTTTTTTTCTTAATTGTTATGCCTACCTGATTCCAAATAAAGCTTCACTGACTCCATCTGTCTGCTGTTATTGGTCAAAATGCTCACTGACAAAGAAATTCCTTTATCATGTCAGTTGTGGCATGACATTTATGACATGGAGTGTCATTTTATGTCACATCAAAGATTATCATGTTTCATTGGTTTTCTCTGCTGTGAGATTCCATGTAAATACACACAGAAAGACACAGTGTGATTCCGTCGATATTATGAACCTACAGTATATATTTAGATACATTTGTGCAGTCGATGTGGTAAAACGCTGCCTTAATCTTGCTTGATGGAACAACGGTATGCATGTGCTGTTTCTCCTTTGATTATACACATGCACATCCAGATCTACAGTCTACTGGTAAATCCATCTTGGGGGTCTCTGTGGCGGTAACATCTGGCTCACATCTGTTTGTCAAGGATTTAGCTCCATTTAAGTTGCTTTTTCCATTCAGCGGGCCCATACTCTACACAAATTAAGCTGTCACTGATGCCACAGAATGACATCAATCATAGTATGTAGCTTGAGAAGCAAAGACGGGCCTGGTGAAGAGGACCGTCCTCTCTCATCCACCACTACAGCACTATCAAATCATACTCTACGCTATCAGAATGTTACTTGCTGACCTTTATACACACATTTTACATGCAGCATACTGATTCAGCCAAAGAACATGAGCCTTATTTTTCATACAGGTTGATGCTGTAAATTAAATACTAAAACAAAAGTAATAAATACATGCACATACAGTTTTATACATATTGTATATATTGCTTTAAAACTGATATTTCTATTTGTCTTTAAAGCTACTATGTGTAGAATTTGTGTGATTACCATAATACAATCAAATAAGTTGGTGCAGCTCTTTTCTCAATTACCAAAGGTTAGATCATTGCTATCTACACTTATAGTCATATATGTATTTAATCCAACACATTGTGGCTTTAACAATTTTAGACCTTTAACCTGATTCAACAGAATGAGACTTTCTAATGAGACCAATGGAATTCCACCTTCTACTAATATGCTCCAATATTTAACTTCAATTCAACATAAATTTTTGCAGAATGGGAATGTTAATGGGCTAAGCTAATCTTTATGTTGTAAAGCATTACACACTTCAACACACTATGTCATCAACTGCATGCCATTAATACATTTAAAGTAATAGTTTGACCTTATGGAAGTAAGCTAGCGGTCTCTATGGTAAATATGAAGCTACCATCAGCAGTAGCTTAGCGTGGCACAAAGACTGGAAACAGGAGGAAACAGTTAGTCTATCTCTGCCCGAAAGCCACAAAATCCACCTCCCAGCACTTCTACGGCTCACAAATTAACAAATCATATCTTGTTTTTTAATCTGTACAAAGAACTGCCGGAAAATGCCAGGAAAGTAGCTGACACGGCAGTTCAGACTGCTAAAGCCTCATTCAAGCTTCAGCTGAACTTTCAAAAGAAGAGAACAAAAATTATTTCAATGTATTTAGAACAGAAGAATGTGAAGTCACCCTTTAAATGCATCTAGCGGTGTAGTTGCAGATTGCAACCTACTCGCTCACTCAAAAATGCGAAAAAACGCAAACAGCCCTACCTAGAGCCAGTTTGATTCGGTTTTTTTGTGTATCCCAGGGCTGGATGAATCTGCTTCATTAAAATACAGAGGCAAGTAATAAAGGTGAGAGACTGTAAGGAAATAACTGAATGTTAGTTAATAACAGGTGAGAGTTATCAATCTTCTCACCTAACTCTCGGCAAGAAAGCGACAGACAAAAACATTTTTTGTGGGGCAAACAGGTATACAGACTGTGGCTCAGGGCCAGCGGAAGCGAGTGTGGGTGTTCAGAGTGAAAAACCTGTGAGGCATGTATAGGCAATTCTAATATAAGGCCCTATTCATTACTAGTACTATCTTCTGTATGACACGTCTGCAAAACTGCTTAGTCAGTAAGGATGAAAGGACACTCCCTGTACCTTATGTTCAGACATATACTGCAGCTACTTTATCAGCATACACAATATCTGTAGCTCACTGATGTAATTTGATTTCTGAATAGCTGAGTGAGCACTCTCTACAGATTCACACTTGAATCTACCTTTACTCTGCAGAGGCACAAACGACTGTATTGTATCATGTGAAGTTACATCACATTTTTGTATGAAACGGACCTTCTCTTCACACAAACCTTATATAAAAAATCTGTTGATTCTATCACTGTATTGATTTTAGAAGGCAGACATCAAATCACAGTGTCATTTGCAAAGAAAGCCTAGAAAATATTGCACCATTACAGGAGTGAATTCTAAATATTTTTAAGAAACATTAGGTCACCTTGATTCAGACCTTGCAGTTGCATGCAGGTAATAAAAAGCCTTTTAAAATTAATATAGCACCTTTAAGCCACAAAGTGCCAGAACAAGGATGAAAACAGAAATTTGACAGCAAAGTAATAAAACAGGAAAGAAATATAAAATACTAAATAAAAGTTAGCATCATAAAAGGGCGGTCAAAAACAAGAAAGGGTATTACACAAAAACAAGACTATAAAAAAGAGTTTAAATAAGTCATTAAAGTTAAAGCAAATCATTCAGCCTGATCTTCTTCAGCATATTGTTTCAAAGTCAAGAAGTTCTAATGGCAAAGCACAGTTATCTGTATTTTAATGTTCTGAAACTTTACATAAAGGAAAAAATATGCAGCTTTGTTGCATGTTAACCAATTTTATTGAAAAAGGCTTTAAAGAAAGATTTTACACCAATATTTTACATTCTGCAAATTATGAAATAGTCTGTGTGACCTTAATCAAATTGACACAATCTTCTGTTCCCTTCCCCGTCAATGCACACTATGCAGGAATCTTAATTTGGTGTTTGGATGAATGCTCTCACAATGTCATGTATGCAGAGATTGCAACAACATTAAATAGTGGAAATTATTGATGAGACATGTACTTCTGTATATGCATGTGCTCTGATGCATATAAGGAGAACTTGCACTTCAGACTATTAGCTGTAACTTTCTATACATTTTAAAAGATGCATTACAACAATGTTACCATGTTTCCGAACATGGTGCCATTGTTCTTTCCATAAAAAAACACTATTTAGTTTCATCTCAGTTTTCACAACAGTCTCAATTCGATAAAACTCTTAATACAAACTTCTAGCTCCTAGACATGCTTTCAGACAAAATGTAAACACCTATATAAGATTAAGTAATGTATCATGCAGTAAATATATCACAGCATGACAACATTGTACTGTTTATGTCTGTCAATTAAATTGAATCATTGTTACATAATATATAGAAATAGAAATAACAAATGTGCATATTATGCTGAAAAATAATGGCTTTCGACAGCATTCATTTTATGGACATGTTGTGTCGCTGTACATGCAGATAATGAAGCCTAGAACCGGACTTTACACTGCAGTCAGTTCAACATTCACAATAACTGTGGCTGTGGCTGTCCTTCCCTCTGTCAGTTTATTTTTATGTATCAGGCATCAAACTTTTGTCCTTTTATTTAAGACACCGAGTGTTTGATATTTACTGCAGTAACACTGTTCTGAAACGAAGTGAGTTATGCTGCACTGCTGCTCACCTGAGTGTAACGGCAAAACCTGAGCTTGCAAACATGTTCTAAATGTGATCTGTACACTTCATAAATATAATAGTGTCTTTATTTTGAGGACTGAACATGGGATGGATAGGCTGTTTTGGAATTGTTCCTTCATGCATTATAATGAACAAAAATAATAAATAATTAATAAATAAACCTACATTATTTTTTTATGCCATATGCTGTCTTTCTGTGGTCACATATGTTTACTTTGTTTTGATACACTTAATGTAAAGATGCAAAATCATGGCCAGTATTCCTGTATTTGTTCTCTATCATCACAATTTTATAAACTGAATCAGGCCTAGTGTACTTCATGCAATCATAATATAACCTATTGTGATTAAAATACATACATTACACATAATGAGAGCTGTATAATTGTTTTCATCGATATGTTTTCATTGTGTATAATCACCTGAATACAGAAATTGTTTTGCTTTTGTTAACTTAGAATGAGCTTTTTTTTATCTACAGAGGCTGCAGGTGGCCTTCAAAGGACTCTGGCATGTTGAACTGCCATGTTTACACAGTAGCCTAGAATGGACAAACAGTGACTGTAGATAGGACCACTGTTCTCATTTGCAGGTTGTCTAATACAGAAGCGTGCTGTTTTCAGTTGGTCGCAATCTGCAACTTCAACACTAGATGCCACTAAATCCTACACACTGGTCCTTTAAAATATTATGTAAAACAATACAATGTAATAATCTAAACCCATTAAAATACAGCTTGTTTGGGATAAAAATGTTTCCACTACAATTAGAGTCAATTTATGCAAAAGGAATAGGCAATAAAAAATGAATCTGTCCTTAATCTCTTCCTATGAGACCACTGAGACTGAATTTCTTGCAGCAGGCAGCTAGTGAACACCAAGCAATAAGGTTCCAGTTGATTCATGAGGATGATGTATGCTCTTATCATGTTTATACGAGCTCCTCCTGCTGCTCTGGTTCCCTCCCTCTGTGCTGTTGAACACCACGGTTCACTCTCTCTAGCGTCTGCATTTCTCTATTTAACCAGCAGAGGATGACAGCAGTCAGCTGCAGCAGCAGCACTGCAGACAGGATCGATGTCAGAGGATCATCATGCTGTCTGTTAAACAACATACTGACCCTGCTGCCTGTAGCTGTGTAGAGCAATGCAAGTGTCTTGGTGCTACTGTGGCTGTGCAAACCTGTTCCCCACAAGGAAGAGGTTTGTGTATTTGTCAGGGTGAAAAAGAATCTACTGTAAAGACAATGCCTCACATTATTTGGTACTTTCAAAACCAAATGAAGCTCTCTTTATGAGATAATGTGGTATCTGGCTGTCATTGAGGGAATATTTCATTTCTACTCTTCAAGAATCTTCTGTATGTGTCCGAGGAAAAACACAAGTGGCCGACAGAGGGAGGAATTGTTGTGTTTGGTCTATGTGCACAAGTGCCTTACTGAGGCTCAGCCACATCCATTTAAAATGATAGCCAAGGCGGACCAAGGGCCAGTCACATTATTCTCTCAAGTAATCCTGTGAGTGACCCGTTAGAAAGGGTGCTGAAAGGGACCCACTGCACACTTCCTAATACTGACAGAAGGAACCCTCATACACAGCATGTGCTTATTTGTGTTTTACAATCTCTACTTCTCTGTCTCTGGTGACAGTGAAACTTTTATTTAAAGCAGAACGACACACATTGTACACATTGATACACATATACACATTCAGGGTAGCAGAGAGCTTTCTGAAGTTTGAAAATTAACCCTGGTGACATCATAGTGATGTCATCGGGGCTTGGGTTTTTAACAGAAAGCCTTATATACTGGAGGGATTGAAAGCAGTGGGATAGATCCAACTCATAATATATACAGTTGCATTATGGGAAATGCAGGATTCTTTTTTCTTGGACTAATAATGTCTGAAAGTCAGGATATCTCAGCCTCTGCTACACAGACTCTGACTGTTTTGGGGCTTTTCTGCCTGTCCCCCAACCTTTAGGAAAATGCAACATTAAATCGCTGGAGTTACCCTTTAAGTGTTAAACCTCTGCCACTGGTTGTGCAAAACCGATGCTACTGAACTGTACAGAAGACAGACAATACGGCATGAAGGCAGCAGGACAAGGGCCCTCAATTAAAATTACAAACACTGCTACAAAGGTTGCAGGCCAATTAATAGGATTTGGCAGCTATAAAAGAGCTCTTGCAGCACTTTGATATGCAAGCTTTCAAATGAATATGTGGCAACTAACAAGAGCTCCGAAGAGGTCACCTGTGCTCAATCTGCAGCTGCATCACCAAAAAAAATATAAATGAAAATAAAAATGAATCAATAAAAAAATAATAGTTACAACAACATTTAAAAAACAATAAGAAAAAGATGAAAATGAAAGAAATAAAAAAGACTGGATAATTATCATTATATTATAATATATAAAAAAAAACGGGGATAATTAATATTACGTGCACGGGTTTATTTACTTTAAAGTTAAAACTAATGCTCTATCTGTTAGTATAATAGGCTAGCCTATATAATTAAAATATTGTTCCAAAGTATTCCGATCCAGTCCAGTGACAAAGGCACGTTTTATTTCTATTTGGCGCATATCCCTGATAATTAGGAAGGAAAAAAGAAAGAGAGGAAAAGCGCATCAAAAAGTATTGTTACGCAGGTTTGACAGTTCCTATGAGAAGTACAAAAAGTAGTCCTGAAGAAAGTGGAGTGACGCAGACCCATGGAGGAGTTTTGGATGAATTAGGGGCTTTCAGAGGACGCATTCGGAGTGTGCGCACCTGCGTACGACCAGCAGTGTCCGCAATCGGCAACCTTACAAGTGAGAAGCTGCTCCTCCGTCTCAAACCGCCTGTGGGGAAGGATTTTAAAGCGCCTGATTCTAACAATGAATGAAATTTCTCTTGGATTACAAACTATGAGGAGCTTTCCCCTCGCGTTGTCCTCTGAGCAGCTGTGACCATCGTGTCCAGACACCGATACGCACCGTCCTCTGACACGTCTCTACTTGTGGTCACCCTTCGAGGAAACATGTCACCCAAATTACTGGCTTATGTCTTACTTCTGTCTGTCCTTCAGAACTGGTAAGTGGCGTGCTTTTGTTGTAAACTGCTCCAAAAAAAAAAAAAAAACGAGAAAAACTAAATAAGAAGAAATGTAACATTCAAATGTAACAGACAATACTACATTGACGTGCAATCATCTACTACATGGTAATACTGTGAACTGCACAATCCCTCCCAACACAGGAAAAAGAAAAACACAAAACAATATAAACAAACAAGATTTAAAATAGACTCTGTATGGCTCCAGGTAGCTTTGAATGTCTGCTCCAGACCAGAGGCTCTAACCATATTAAGCAACAAGAAGAAGAGGAGATAAAATCATGAATTGTGAGTTCTCGTTGCTCTCTCTCTTGGACTCCTTCACAGTTTCAAGTCTTTAGTGTTTAGTGTGAGTCTGGTGAACCAAGTGTTGCTTTTCTAAGTGGAGAACAGACAACACTGGAGAACACAAAAATACAGGTTTGTAAAAGGAAAAACGCTTGTCTACCCAACCGTGAACATGTCTTAGCTTAGATTCTGGGCTTATCGTACCTATGTGGAACACAGACGAGATTCCTGTCATATAAGCAAATATTTGCCTTCCCACTCCCACCCCTCCTCGCCCAATGCAGTTATACAAACACGCAAACATACGTACAGAACACTTTGCGAGTATATGACAAAAAAAAGAGGGGCTAAGTTCTGTAATGAAAACTAGACACATTCGGGAAGTGTGGGAATTGTTTCTGCTGGAATCGATTGCGAATCAGAGCCCTTAAGTTTACGACGATGCAATCAAATAGGCCTGTGTGTGTGTGCGCGTGAGTGTGTGTGGCTCATGTAAATAATCCCGTGACTCCAAGCCAACTCAAGTGAATAAAGAGACCAACAATTGAAAGTGTGACCCGAGTAAGTAAAAAAAAAAAAAAAAAGTTTTGAAACCCTCCAAAGTCCAGTGGGTTAGTCCAATGTGAGTGTGCGTGTTGTGATTGTGTGTCCAGCCCGATTAAAAAAGGCGTGAATCTGGCAGGGACACAAATAAAAAGAGTTAACCCCTGTTAAAAGAAAAAACAGAGGAGAGGATTATTACTGTCCCTCCGAGGACAGTCTGCCTGTGAGAGAGGAGAGGAGAAGTCGAAAGGCTCCGCTGAAGTGCTGAACAGTAAAAACGAAAAGACACTGAGAGCAAATGGGAGACAAGAGCAGTGGTGCAGGTCCTTGTTCAGTAGTCAGTACGTCCAAAAACGTCCACACGCAGACACACACACAAACGCGCGCACGCACACGCACACACACACACACACACACACAGGGTACTCTGGTTAAGGCAGTGGTGGCAGGTGAGGCTGCAGTGAGGCCGGGGCTAGAATCGGAGAATCGGCGGTCAGGGCTCATGGCAGTGAAAGCTCCCACTACTGAGTCAATACTCCTCCTCATCCTCCTTGTCTGGTTCCTCTCCTTTACGCAGTCACACTCCTCAGCATCGCTCACTCGAATGACATCAGATTGGCTGGCACCTGGGAACGAAGGTGTAGGTGTGCAAAATGTAAGGAACAGTGAACAGTGCGTGTGTGTGCGTGTGTGTAAGTGTTTATGCGGCTCCGTACCTGTTGCCTATTGCTCTGACAGGCAGCACTCAGATGTTTGAACCAGAGCAAAGCATTTGTTCTGTTCCCTGCCTGGTACTTGTAGGTGTTACCTAGGCAACGGAGACAAACAAAAGTAAGACGCCAAGTCTCTCGTTTCCATCTGCTTTCTCAACAGTCTGGAAAGATGGCTGAAGCTTCACTTGACTTTGGCCCGCCCAGTAAAATAAAAACAAAGTCACAGTGGAAAAGTTCAGAACAGAGGTGTGTGTGCGTGTGTGTGCATTAACAGCTGTGTATGAACATAATAAAAACACATGCTAGATAGGACTAGCATGCAATCACGTACTTAATCTGACAGTTAGGCTTAGTTTGGTGAGATGGACACAATCTTAATGTGTGTGTGAATGTGTTATGGTGATGTTTCCAAATCAAAATCCTTTTGACCCAGGTCATACTTTTACTGCATCCGTTTTCAGAGAGCTGACTGCTTTCCTGTGTTAGTTATTTCCGTTTTACTTTTTCTTTTGTGTGTGTGTGTGT